GTCAAAGCTGCCATCATGCCAAGCCCTCCCGCGAGGCCGTCTAAGGACCACTGTATTCCCACAGTGGACCTCAGTAGCGTTCCCATGCTGGGCCTCGGGTAAGGCTGTCAGACCCCAGGGCACCCTGCCACCCTGTGGCCATGCCCAGACCTGCTACAAGAAGCAGTGCCGGGGCGCAGTAGTCCTTGCTCCCACAGTGCGGGTGGCCTGCCCAGTAACTCCTGAGGAACAGGCGGTGTGGACGTGGACCTGAGGCGGTGTGGACATGGACAAGCTTCCGTTTCTGACGAGAAGTTTACTTATGCATGGAGCAGACAAAGTCAAAAAAGATCATGACTGTTCTTCAATAAAATTCATGCAATGAATTTAACTTCATTTTCCACCAACTTTCTTTTAAATTTATTATTATTTTTTTTTAACTTGAAGTCAAAGAGAGGGAGAGACAGAAAGAGAGATCTTCCATCCACTGGTTTACTCTCCAGATGGCTGCAACGGCCAAAGCTGGAACAGGCTGAAGCCCAGAGCCAGGAGCTTCTAGTTCTCCCACGTGGGTGCAGGTGTCCAAAGCCTTGGGCCGTCCTCTGCTGCTTCCCAGGCCACGAGCAGGGAGCTGGATCAGGAAGTGGAGCAGCTGGGACTAGAACCAGCACCCACATGGGATGCCAGTGCCACAGGATGAGGCAGTAGGGTTAGTCAGCTACGTCACCACACTGGCTTCTCCGCCAACTTTTTAAGGCATGTTCACATAGCAAAGAAAAAGCAGCTCAACTACTTCGTCATGTCTGGATTTCATCAAGGTCCAGCCCTTGTTGGGACTGTGACTTGCACAAACTCTTTGAAACAGACAACGCCTGTGTCGTGGGTGAGATGTCCTTGTCACTTTCCATCAAGCAGCAGTCTACGCACAGCTTATTCCGGAAATGTGAAGGATTCAACCTGGCCTAGGTACGTACTCGATGCGGGTGGTCTAGAGGAAGTGAGTCACAGAACCACGTGCACTATCAAATCGGAGACCTTTCTGTACCAATCACTCCCCAAAGGGAATCCCCCAACGCTCCTGAGCTGGAACTCCCTGCTCAGCGCGCGGACTCCTCCACAGTGCACAGTGGGAGTGTGCAGAGCTCGGTGCCTTTTTGGCAGCCAGTGCTCCTGCTCTTCACGCACGTGAGATCACGGTGAGGCAGGAGAAGCAAACCCTCCCAGACGCCAGGGCAGGGCAGCATGCAGCTGTTCAGCATGAGTACACAGGGAGCACAGGGCTGTGCTGTGAAGGGCAGCATGCAGCTGTTCCACCGTGAGTACACAGGGAGCGCAGGGCTGTCCTGCAGGGCAGCATGCAGCTGTTCAGCGTGAGTACACAGGGAGTGCAGGGCTGTGCTGTGAAGGGCAGCATGCAGCTGTTCAGCATGAGTACACAGGGAGCGCAGGGCTGACCTGCAGGGCAGCATGCAGCTGTTCAGCGTGAGTACAGAGGGAGCGCAGGGCTGTCCTGCAGGGCAGCATGCAGCTGTTGCAGCGTGAGTACACAGGGAGCGCAGGGCTGTCCTACAGGGCAGCATACAGCTGTTCAGCATGAGTACATACACAGGGAGCGCAGGGCTGTCCTGCAGGGCAGCATGCAGCTGTTGCAGCGTGAGTACACAGGGAGCGCAGGGCTGTGCCGTGAAGTGCAGCATGCAGCTGTTCCAGCGTGAGTACACAGGGAGCGCAGGGCTGTCCTGCAGGGCAGCATACAGCTGTTCAGCATGAGTACACAGGGAGCTCAGGGCTGTGCCGTGAAGGGCAGCCATGGCCACGGTGGGCTGAATTCAGAGACACTGACAAAGTCCGGTGATTCAAGTGTTCCGGAAACACTTTCTTAAAAAGGAAGAAATTTCCAGCAGCTCCCCAGCACTCTGAGAGGTGTTTTTTTTTTTTTTTTTAATGAAGTGGCTTGAGGGTAACCAATCTGATTTATCACTAATTACATCTCCTGCCACTTTGAAAAAATCTGTATTAACTTATCAAACCAGTATTTACCAAGTAAGCTGGTAAACCAAATGAAAAGTAAGGGGCGTCACAGCCATCACTTGGATAGGAGTGAAAATTCATTCTGTGAGAAATCACCAAGTTGTTGGATCTGGATCTCAGGTGTCACATGTTACTGATGGCCACCTGCTGGGTGTCCCACAGACCAAAGAACTGTCACACCTCCAAGATCACCAGGACACTCCTGCACTGACAACTAGAAATCCGTCTAAGCTTTTATACATTCCACCCCAAAGATCCTTAGTGCAGAAGCACATGGTCATGTTTTTTTCTATTAAGCAGACATTAAATTATTTACAAAATATACAACAATGCCAACTCCTATTGTTTTTCAGTTGGTTGTTTCACATACCATGCTATTTACACATGCATATGTAATGTATTTTTGGATGAATTAAGTACTGTACATGAGTGCACTGGGTCCCCGGTGTTTTCCTCTGAATGTAACTCAGCATCTAGACGCAGTTCAGAATCCCTGTTGATACTGTCCAACTCCACCTCCCCTCGCCATCTTTCCTCCAGTCCAGCCTTTCACCCACAAATGCTGGGGCAGGTGCTGCGCACAGCAGCGGGGTTCCACCTGGTGCGTCCACATCTTGTGAGGAGTGCCTGGGCTCAGCTATATTTTCAATTTCAGCTTCCTGTCAATGCCCCTGGGAGGCAGCAAGCGCCAGCTACCTGGGTTCCTGCGACCCACTCAGGAGCCTCGGATGCAGTTCCTAGTGCTAGCTCCTGGCCCAGTCATTTGGAGTGAACCAGTAGGTGGGAAATCAGTCTCAGTCTTCCAAAGAAATAACTTTTTTTGTTTACAAAAGGAATATTTTGTTAACATATTTCTTTCAATCATCTTCAATGCTCTTTGCTCAGCAGCATTTTATCTTAAAATTAAAAGAATGATTACTTAAATATATCTAGAACTGAAACTCAAATTATGGGAAAATATGTATTTTACTTATTTATACCCTAACAAGTGAAAGAGTAAACTGGACAAATCGATTACTCTATCAGAGGTGAAACTTAAACACAAATCAAATGATATTTTAACAGAGGTCAGAATTCAGTTCTCCTGATTTTTACTGCGAAGCTGCCCACTACACATTTGATTAACCAGCTGCCACGAGCAGAGGCTCAGCTACACACGAACTAAGACCAGGCGGTGAGTGAATGCTGGGGCGGGAAGCGGCGGGTCAGCCCTGCTGCTCGGCTCAGGGACCACAGAGTGAGACCCGGCTGTAGGAGCCCACACCCATGAGGCGCTGGGGTCCAGCACCAAGGCCCCGGCCCATCCTGGGGCACTCGGGCTCAGGCTTAGCACGCTGTGCAACACCCCTTCTCCTCCGCCTGCTTTGGGCAGTGTGCTGGAGACACCACAGAACCGAGTCTCTAGCTCCCTAATGGCTGCCCACACGCCATCAATAATGAAAAAGCGTGTATTAATAGTCCCAGGGGACAGATGAACAGTAACTGCCTGTGGACATGCTGCGCAAAAACTCAGCAGCTCAGAAAGCATCTGAAGCTGGCTTTCCCACTGCAGGAGCAGAGCGCTTCACAGCCAAGTGTTTCCTCTCTCTGGGAGCCTGAGGCACTGGCCTGACAAGACGCCACTGGTCCTGCAGAAGCCCGCACGCCTAGTGCTGAGCTTAAGCTAAAAACAAAAACAGCAAAACCAACCAAGCCACAAGCCTAAAAGCAGATAACGAAATTCAGCAGGTATGAAACGTCATCAACAGGTAACGCTCCCCGGCTTCCCTATACACTAGGTGAATGAACCCGAGACTTTGGTCTACACACAAGCAATGCTCCAGAAGCGATGCGCTCACACACACTAGCTGCTGACCTGAATCACGCTTCCCTTGGAATTTCAGCAGCATGCACTCCCCTGAGCGCTCCCAGCTCCACAGCCAAGTGACATGCCTCTGCCATCCGAGAGGTCAACCAAAAAGGGGGCGGAGCGCCCGACTGCTGAGGCCAGGAAGACACAGGGTCTCTGAGCGGCCACCCCGGGGGTTCTCGACAAGCAGGAGGGAATGCAGACTGGCTCAGGGACAGCCCGAGCTCCTGCAGGCTCCTGTACCTTGGCTGCAGCCGAGCAACCTGGCAACCTGCTCCCGGGACGGCACAGCGTCAGAGGGGGATGGCGCTGCCCAGGCACAGCTGCCGGCTCTGCCGGTGCCCCGCAGCTTCCTGCAGGGAGCCCTGCCCCAGGACGCCAGCAGGCTTGGGGCGCGGTCTGCTAATAGCCAGGTAGCTCTTACAACTCACAGCCTTTCCAAATACGTGTTCTCTCAAGAAACAAGCGCCTGAAACCTGCTGAGACCAGACGTTCAAAAAAAAAAAAAAACAAAAGGCAGCACATGCATGTACTGTCTGACTAGGTCCTAGCGAGGATAAGCCAAAGTGGAAACCCTGCTACTGGGCAGCGATGCCTGGGCGGCCCCGCGGGCAGAATGAGGGCAATGCCTCAGTTTTATTTCAAAACCAACTTCCCTGCATCAAGTTTCCCGGGCGCTTCCTCGCCGAGCCCCACGCGTCCAGCTGTGAGTCCCCAGGACGGAGCTGGGCTGCCGCTGCAGCCGGTGACTGCCCTCGACCCCAGGGTCCGGCCCTGCCCGGGCGGCGGGCGCTCACGCCCCGGGCTCTCGTCTCCCCCGCGCTCCGCCGCCCTCGGCCTCCCAGAAAAGGGCTGCAGAAACGACCACTTCATCTCAGTCCCCGCACTCGGCCAGCCACCGCGCTGCAAATGCAGCGAGCGCCCAGGGACTCTGCAACCCTGCCGGCCAACTCCGGGGGCTGCCCGCCTGCTGCCTGTGGAACACAGAACCCAGAAGCCGGTCCCGGCGCGTGGGAGGGCGCGGGGCAGCGGGTCGCTCCCGCACGGCCGCCGGGCCGCCCGCACCTGCCGCCCGCACCCGCCCCGGAGGACGCCCGGCGAGCCGAGTTCGCGGCCCGGCCCCTCGGGAGGCCGCACTTACTCAGACCGCCGGGCAGGCTGCGCCGTGGGCCGCGGACACGCGAGCGGGCCCCGCGCCGCTGCCGTCGCTCCTCATCGTCCCCCGCCAGCCCAGGGGCCGTCGCCGCGGTCTAGCCCGGAGCTCCGGAGGCGCCGCTCGGGGCCGCCCCACTTCCGGCCTGCGCTCCGGTGTCGCCGGCAAATGCCCCCGCCGGCGGCCACATCACCTGCCCGCCGTCTTCCTCCGCCGCCTGGGAGCGCGGCCCGCCCTCGCGAGCATGCGCAGAAGCCGCGGCGCGCGGTGCTCCCGCGACGGTGGCCCGGGCGGGAAAAGGCAGCGGCGGGGCGCTGGGGGGCCGGCTCCCGGCTCGGCGGCTGAGGGCGGCCCGGCTCCCGCGGGGGTGGGGAGCCCGGCCGTCCCCGCCTCTGCTGGGGGAGCCCTGCCGTCCCGGGGCCTGTGGCGGGGGAGCCCGGCCGTCCCGGGGCTGGATGTCTCGGGGAACCGAAGGGATGGCTCCGGGAGAGGCGGATTTTAAGGAGGAAATGAGCGATAGCTTCTGTCCCTGTTGGCACCGTCCACAGCACATGCGGCCCTCGTGGGGGCCATTCGGAAACAGGACTTACCTGTGGGGGATTTGAACCCAAGCTACAGGTCCCCGAGCCCAGGAGGTGGTCTCACAAGGAGGTCCTGCTCTCGGGAACCTGGGGCTTCCAGGAACCAGATGACCGGGCTCTGTTGGCCTGCGTTTGTCTGCCTTCCGTCCTTGTCGCCCGGAGCAGGATTGGGGGCTCTCCCCTCACCCTGGAAAACAGCCCCTCGGGACAGGGTGTGCAGGGAACTCGCCTGCCCCGGGGGGACCTCCTCAGGCTTGAGCTTGAGGCGTTGGCGACACCCCAGGAGAGTGGGTCTCTGTGACCCAGCAACACCTCTCAGCCATTCCCTATTGCAGGTGCACTACTTATTATTAAAGATGCCTTTTTATTAGAAAGGAGAGTTGCAGAGAGAGGAGCGACAGGTGTTCCATCTGCTGCTTCACTTCCCAAATGGCTGAGAGCTGAGCCCATCCGAAGGCAGGAGCTTCCTCCAGGTCTCCCACGTGGGTGCAGGGGTCCAAGGCTTTGGGCTGTCCTCCACTGCTTTCCCAGGCCACAGGCAGGGAGCTGGATGGGAAGTGGAGCAGCAGGGACGAGAACCCATGCCTATATAGGATGCCAGCTCTGCTGGGGCTACACCAATGCGCATGCCAAATGTGCATTTCTTTGCATATAGAGGGTATTTCATACTTTTTGTTGTTTCTAAGCTCACTTGTCTTACAGAGAGCTCCTGGTGCAAGCTAGGCTCGTGATGTGCTGTTTAGCTTGTAAACTAGAACGTGTGTAATAGTGGCAGCAGCTCTACCAGGCACTTGGGCGAGGGGAAGACGCGCTTTGTGTCCTGTGCACGAAGCAGGCAGAATCACAGGCGAACTCAGAGACTGCCTTGGCGAGGATGCGCCTGCTCTCCTGAGTCGGGGGTTCCTCCCCTGCCGCATACACAGCGCCTCATTTGAGGGGCAGGAGCCTAGTGGAGGTCCAGCAAGCAGGATACACCCAGGCAGCAAGGGTGCCTCAGAGCTGCTGGTGCTGCTCTGGTGAAGTTGAACAGCAACTTACAGGAATAATTTGCAAACTGTTATTACAAGTGATTTCAGAGGGAAAAAAGATTATATTGACCATCTCAATAAACCCCACTTACCCAGGAAATAGTGGAGAATTGCAGGTTGTTGGGCTAGCGGGCACGAAGGTCCTCCCACTGAATTACACCCCTGTTTGAGCAGTGCTGGTTTCCTTGGTTACACAACCTGTCATAGCAGTGAGCGGGATCTGTTGCAGCAAGCTTAAACCAGGGATGTTTCACACTCAAAGGGAACAGTTCTAGAAGCTGTTGTCCCCATGCTTCACGGGCAGTTTTCAGTTGTCCAGAGAGGCCACGGCAACATTTCTGTGGGAGCCAGCAGGTCCTGGGTCGTGGGGCTGGGCTGGTTCTCATCCCTCCATCCAGAGCCTCGTGCTCTGGGCGCTCACACAAAACTCAACAGATTTTATTCTGCGTCGCCGGGCCGGCTCTGGGAGAGGCTGTGACAGACGTGTGCTCATGTGACTCCTGTGTAGTATAAAGTATGATTATGGGCTGCGTCGAGGCCGCAGTCAGAGAACTGAACTCAGACCACAGGTTCCCATATGGAAAAAGCCTTAGACCATCCTGCAAAAGCTCACTTTCCCGTCTGGAGAAACTCCAGACGTTCACAACTGACCAGCGCCAAGCGTGTTAGCGCTCTCGAGGCTAACGCGCCCGAAGTTGCGCTTCACGACGCTTTCCCTGGGGCGTGTGGTCCCACCGCTCGCCAAAGCTGCAGCGGCAGCCATACACAGCCAGCCCGGCAACCGCGCCTGCGCGAGACTGCCGCTGACGTCACAGCCCGCCCTCCGCTCGCCGCTGCGCGTGCGCGGCGGACAGCTGGCGGAACCGGCCTCGGGGAGTGCGGCCTTCCGGCTTGGTGGCCGCGCCTCCGGCTTGACGTCGGGTGGCATTCTGTGGTGGTGGCTCTGCCCGGGAACTGCGCGTGCGCGGCGGACAGCTGGCGGAACCGGCCTCGGGGAGTGCACGCTTCCGGCTTGATGTCAGGTGGGAATGTGTGTGGGGTCTCCGCGGGGTCCGCGCGTGGACGCGGCCGTGGCTGCCGGGGAGCGAGCCCTGGGCGCGGGCGGCGTGCCTGAGGAGGACTCGGCTCTTCTCCCAGGCCGTCCAGGGTTGACTGGAAAGTTCGATTCTGTCCCAAAAGCTCGGGTTCTCTGCCTCCCGGGGATGGGGTCGAGCCCGACCCCAGGTGCGCGCTAGGCCCCAGGGTGGGCTGCCGGCTTGCGTCCGCGTGGGGACCCCGTGTGCGGCTGGGATCCTCGACGTCCGGGGTGCCCTCGTTGGCTCCCGCGTCTCTGGAGGGTATCGGGGACCCCGGGGTGCGGCTGTCGCCTCGCCAGGGTTTGCAGGCTGCAAGGAACTGCGTGGGTTCGGTCCGCGTGTCCTCCCGGTGCCCGCCGGACCCCGTTCCTTTCGGGGAGGTTCTCCCCAGCAGCTGCCAGGCTCGCACGCAGGGAGCAGTTCCCGTTTTCAGTTAATTTCCTTACTGTTCATGTAGTGAATCCTGCTGGTTGGTTGGTTGTGCCCTCGGGATGGGCGACAGGTCGTTATCTTACATGCTCTGCTCATCGCCGTTGAGTAATGCGTTGTCCCCATCTGCTTAGTAAATTCAACTGTTTATATCTGTATGTATTTTGTGGACAGTACACATTGCTAGTGTAGCAACCAATCCATTAAAAACTTAAGGGCCTTGTATGTGTTAAAACTATTTCCATGTAGTCGTCTCTCTGTAGACATCTCCTTGTTTGTCCAACTGCAAATAGCTTCAGCTAAAAACTTCAAAATCCAAATAGTAAGGTTCCAGGTCAGGTGAATGTTAGATCTGCCGGCCACCCGAAAAAAAAAATAGCAGGCAAATACAAACAGACCTTTATTACACAAAGAAGTCTGATCCTGGGTGTTTCCCACGCGGCGGAGGAATGGACAGGAGAGGGGAGGACCCCAAGTGGGAAAGACAAGCTGGGTAGCGCCAGATGTTGGGGTTCACTGAATCTGAGCGAGTCTCCAAGGCGAGTGAGATGATTTTATTGTCTAGTCCAAGGGGCAACCTCTTGCCGTACGCAAGAAGCACCCCGAATGAAATAATCATGGGGTTTTTACAGTAAAAGAATCAAAAGCTATGTGACAGTGAGCAAGTACATGATTGGGGCTAGCAGTGACACAAAACAGCATGCGACAGGAATTGACAGTGCACAGGCAGGGGGTCCTGAACCTATCTCTTCAACGCAGACAGTAATGAAGCAGCAGGCCTCGAAGGTGGCTGTCTTTCCCGCAAATCCGAAAACTCCAAGGGTGTCCCCGTCGCCTGCCTGCCTCCCCGTCTTTCAGGAAACAGGAGCTTGTAACAGGATGCAGGTGTCTCTCTGGAGATTCCAGACTTCCAGTACCGTCACCTTCACAATCAGCCCCGTCAGCGGAGACAAAGGGCTTCTATGCCCTCTGCCGTGGGTGCTGGCGTCAGCCCTGCTTGGGTCCCGATAGGACAGGGAATGTTGGCCTTTGTCCATCATTGGCCTGTGCGTGGCCTTGGCTGCTTTTGGGGCCTGCCAGATCTCTGGCTGAGGTCACTGTGGTGTCCACCCACTTCCTGTAACCACAGTAACCATCAGTGAAAGGCAAGGGAACCCTTACATTTGACTTTTTAGGCACCTGAAAAGAAAAAAAAATGTGTCTTACTCATTTTGTAATGATTTTGGAATTCTCTGTGTAGCCATTTTAGGATGCATATGTAACCACCCCTAAATTTGGTCATTTTTATGAAGCGATTTGAGTAAACTTTTCCTAGCATTTGCTGAAGGAGATATCTCTATGTCTATCCATATGCGTGTCACAGGTCACTCTGCATGCGGTGTGTCTGGGTTGTACACACAGCACTGTGTGCCTTAGTGCTGTAATGTGACTGTAAGTGCAACACGGTGTGTCCTCACTGGGGAGAGCAGGAACACACACAACCAGCTGGTGCAGTCGGTGATACAAACCAGATGCAGCTGCGTGCTGCAATCAAAGAGCTCCCAGGGAAGTGGCCCCATGGGGGTTAGATCTTGATGGCATCTGCTGGGTGGATGGTGGGTTTCCTCTTTCTGAAGATAAACAGACTTGGGGTGTTCTTTCTCTGTAGGCCACCAAATGGCTGTTGGAGCTACAGCTGGTACAGGCAGAGTTGCAGGGTGTTTTCAAGGTAGTCAGAGTCTAGTCTATGATTTTTTTTTCAATGAAAGGCTCTGCCTTAAGTTATTACACTTATATTCTTTGTCAGGCTACTTGACATTTTAGTATAATTAGTTCCCCGGACAGTACTTTCTCTTTACAGAGTATGTGCTGCTTTAGAGAACAGTCATGCTCTATTTGCCTGTGGCACAGTGGCTGTATCTCATATAATTATTACTTGGAGAAAGACTGGCATGGAAATGCTAAAAAAGAAGTGTACTAATGAATCCCTAGGGCTGTGAGTAACTATGGTAAAGTAAGCAGGGAAGCGAGGATGTTTTTTGAGCTGCGTTGGAGTGTTGTGGCACAGCCACCAGTGAAGGTGTGAGAGAAAGCATAGAGAATGGCCATGAACTTTGCCTGGAAGGCGAGGGTCCTTGGTTTTCTGATCCGATGTCTCATGTATGGCTGGAGTCTCAAACTTCCCAGGAAGTCAGAATTCAGTTTAGTGAGCGTGTGACTCATTGAAAACGTGTTTTTACAAGGTTATTTCACATGGAAGGTAGTAACATACAGAAGAGGTTATACAAGAAGGGTCTTAACTCAGGACCTTTAATTAATTTTTTGAAAAGATTTATTTATATTACTTGAAAGGGTCACACAGCAAGAGAGAAAAACAGAGAGATTGTGCATCTGCTGGTTTACTTCCCAGATAGCTTCAGCAGCCGGAGCTAGGGAGCCAGGAGCCTCTCCTGGATCTCCCATGCACAGGTAGGGGCCCAAGAACTTGGGTCCCCTGTTGCTTCTCCAGGCCACAAGCAAGGAGCTGGGCCGGAACCTGAGACATAAAGTGAATTCTACCCAATTCTTTTTTTCGTCCTTATTAATGATGTTGTTTTGCACTAATGGTACTATTTTGCATTTCTGCTAAATAATTAAAAAATAAAATAAGTCAATGAATGTTGAAGTTAAGGAAGAAAAATAATAGATGTGTTTTGAATATTGTGAGAAATAAGGATAATGGCTCTTTACAATTTATGTATTTATTTTTCTAAGAGTTCTTTAGCTTTATTCGAAAGGCACATTTACAGAGAGAAGAGACAGAAAGGTCTTTCATCCACTGGTTCACTCTCTAAATGGCTACAATGACCAGAGCTGGACCAGGTTGAAGTTCGGAGCTTCTTCCGGGTCTCCCACACGGGTGCAGGAGCTCAAGAACCTGAGCCTTCACTCGTGGCTTTCCCAGACCGTAAATAGGGAGCTGGATAGAAGTGGAGCAGCCTCTGTGCGAGCTGCTGCCTCTATGCAATCCCAGCCCTAGAAGGTGGAAGGTTAGCCTTTTGAGCCACCAGGACAGCCCCAGTGATGGCCCTTTAGATCAGGAATGAAGAATATTTTGCCAAGCTTCCATTTAGATATTTGTGACATCATTAATGGGCCGGGCAGACTGATCAACTTAAGAATCACCTCCTGCAGATGGATTGAATTTCCAGTACCACCTGTGACGGGTTACCTTTGCAGGGCCAGACCGGTTGATTTTACAGGCCTTACACAGTATTGGGGCTGGCGTTCTCCACCCTGGCTTTGGATACTGAATACTAATTTGTATTGAAGAACAAAACTTGCTGAAAGTACAGGTTGAAATGTTACATCATTTATAGCACCAATATGTTTTCATTTAGCAAACATTAATAAAGATTTATTATGATCTAATTGTTGTGAGCTATTCCCATGGAATATTTGGTTGAAGTTTGCCTTTTTCTTAAGTTATTTTCTTTTTGCCTTAGTTAAACCAAAGGATTCACCATCGCTTCAATGGCTGCCTCACAAACTTCACAAACTGTTGCGTCCCACGTTCCTTTCGCAGATTTATGTTCAACTTTGGAAAGAATACAGAGAAGTAAAGGACGTGCAGAGAAAATCAGACATTTTAGTGAGTTTTTAGATTCTTGGAGGAAATTTCATGATGCCCTTCATAAGAACCAAAAAGACGTCACAGACTCATTTTATCCTGCCATGAGACTCATCCTTCCTCAGCTCGAAAGAGAGAGAATGGCCTATGGCATAAAAGAAACTATGCTTGCCAAGCTTTATATAGAATTACTCAACTTACCTAGAGAGGGGAAAGACGCGCTGAAGCTGTTGAACTACAGAGCGCCCACTGCAGCACACGGGGATGCGGGGGACTTCGCCATGACCGCGTACTTTGTGTTGAAGCCTAGATGCTCCCAGAAGGGAAGCCTGAGTGTACAGCAGGTCAACGAGCTTCTGGACTCGGTTGCCAGCAGTAACTCTGTGAGAAGGAAAGACCTCATCAAGAAGAGTCTTCTCCAGCTCATAGTGCAGAGCTCAGCGCTGGAGCAGAAGTGGCTCATCCGCATGATCGTCAAGGACTTAAAGCTCGGTGTCAGTCAGCAGACGATACTGAACACTTTCCACAGCGATGCTGTGGAGTTACATAACGTCACCACTGACCTGGAGAAGGTCTGTAGGCAACTCCATGATCCTTCGGTAGGACTCAGTGATATCTCCATCACTCTGTTCTCTGCCTTTAAACCAATGTTAGCTGCTGTCGCCGATGTTGAGCGCATTGAGAAGGACATGAAGCACCAGAGCTTCTACATTGAAACCAAGCTGGATGGCGAGCGCATGCAAATGCACAAGGATGGGGACGTCTACCGGTACTTCTCCCGAAACGGCTATAACTACACGGAGCAGTTTGGCTCCTCTCCACGGGAAGGTTCCCTCAGCCCCTTCATCCACAGTGCCTTCAGAGCAGATTCACAGACCTGTATCCTCGATGGTGAGATGATGGCCTATAGTCCGCATACGCAGACTTTCATGCAAAAGGGGAATAAGTTTGACATTAAACGGATGGTAGAAGATTCTGATCTGCAGACATGTTACTGTGTGTTTGATGTCTTGATGGTTAATAATAAAAAGCTTGGACGGGAGACCTTGAGAAACAGGTATGAGATTCTTAGTAGTCTTTTTACACCGATACCAGGTAGAATAGAAATTGTGCACAAAGCACTAGCTCATACCAAGAATGAAGTGATTGATGCATTGAACGAAGCCATAGATAAGAGAGAAGAGGGAATCATGATAAAGCATCCGCTGTCCATTTACAAGCCGGACAAAAGGGGTGAAGGATGGCTGAAAATTAAGCCCGAGTATGTCAGCGGCCTGATGGACGAGTTGGACATCCTAATAGTTGGGGGCTACTGGGGGAAAGGCTTACGTGGTGGAATGATGTCTCATTTTCTGTGTGCAGTCGCAGAGAAGCCCCCTCCTGGGGAAAAGCCGTCTGTGTTTCATACGCTCTGTCGTGTTGGCTCAGGATACACCATGAAAGAACTCTATGAGCTGGGTTTGAAATTGAACAAATGCTGGAAGCCATTCCATAGGAAAGCTCCTCCAGGTAGTATTTTATGTGGAACAGAGAAGCCAGAAGTGTACATTGAGCCTTGTAATTCTGTGATTGTCCAAGTTAAAGCAGCTGAGATTGTCCCCAGCAGTATGTATAAAACTGGATGCACCCTACGTTTTCCACGAATTGAAAAGATGAGAGATGACAAAGAATGGCATGAGTGCATGACTCTGGATGACTTAGAGCAACTTCGCGGGAAAGCACTGGGGAAGCTCGCCACCAGGCACCTTTGTGTAGGCGCTGATGACGAACCCCAAGAAAAAAAGCGGAAATCGGCCCCCAAAATAAAGAAAGTTATTGGAATTATTGAACATTTAAAAGCACCGAATCTTTCTAATGTAAACAAAGTCTCTAGCGTATTTGAGGATGTCGAGTTTTGTGTCATGAGTGGAACAGACAGCCACCCGAAACCTGACCTGGAGAACAGAATTGCAGAATTGGGTGGTTGTATAACACAGAACCCAGGCCCAGACACGTACTGTGTAATTGCAGGGACTGAGAACATCAGGGTGAAAAACATTATTGCTTCAAATAAGCATGATGTTGTCAAGCCTGCGTGGCTCCTGGAGTGTTTCAGGACCAAAAGCTGTGTGCCTTGGCAGCCACGCTTCATGATCCACATGTGTCCATCAACTAAAGAACATTTTGCCCGTGAGTATGATCGCTATGGAGACAGTTATTTTGTTGACACAGATTTGAACCAGCTGAAGGAAGTATTCTCAGGAATGAAGAATTCTCAAGAGCAGACTCCTGAAGAAATGGCTTCTGTGATTGCAGAGCTAGAATGTCGCTATTCCTGGGACCAGTCTCCTCTCAGTATGTTTCGACACCATACTGTTTATTTGGACATGTATACTGTTATTAATGACCTGAGCACCAAAATTGAGGCAACGAGATTAGCTACGAAGGCCTTGGAGCTTCGATTCCATGGAGCCAGAGTGGTTTCTTGTTTAGCTGAGGGAGTGTCTCATGTCATCATTGGGGAGGACCAAAGCCGAGTTCCAGATTTTAAAGCTTTTAGAAGAACTCTTAAGAGGAAGTTTAAGATACTGCAAGAAGGTTGGGTGACCGATTCAGTGCAGAAGTCTGAATTGCAAGAAGAAAATCAGTATTTGCTTTAAAGTTGGCCATCACAGTGAGGAAAGCCTGTGTTCTGGTGAAGCTAATATGTCAGGTGGTAATGATAAAACACTAAACTTTGTAAGCATAGATTTTAAAAGACAAAAAGCATTATCAGGTGTAAGAAAATAATTCTATGCCTTAAGATTGAGAAGACAGTCAGCATGAACAAAACAGTAGCATAATATTTGGTGATTAAAAACAAGATGAAATAAGTATTTGAAGTAATTGTATAATTATTGTGTAGAAATCTGAAATTTTTAATCATTGAAAGTATTAACTTCCTAAACAGTTTTTTGAAGTAAAAAATTTGATAGTAGTTATTATCCAGTGAAAACACTGTAAGAAAAAGTTACGAAACATCATAATTGGATCTGTAAAAATATGGGATTCTCTTTTGTTTACTGAAGGCTGAATTGTATCTTTAGAAAATGTATGAACTTTTTAAAGCCTTCAGTCAAATGTGTTAAAGCATGTCAATAGTGATTTTTAGCTCAGGTCAAGTTTTAACTCTAAATAATTACAAGTGGAAAAAACACTTGGAACTTAAAAAAACCCCAAATTTATTTTTTTCTAAGATAAGGTATTTTAATGTGAATTTGTCCTTGAATTAACTGTATTCACAAAAAATAATTGTGCGAGATATAACTCATTGATCCGGTTTTACAATGGCATGCATGTTGTAACTTTCAAAAAGGAAGGCAAATTGTTTTAGCATTTTAGGATGACTTTAAAATTAGTTTATTTAAGTAAGATGATTGTATAATAGGCTGAATTTTTATGTCAAATTTTAGATTGTTACCTAAACATTTGAAAAATGTATTTTCTTGACAGTATTGAAAAGTAGGGAATTTGGTGCTTAGAAACTATGGCATTGAGTTGAAAGAAAAAGTTTTAGTCAAATAGTGGAACAAATATGTTTAATTTTATTATGTTTCTTAAATAAGATGTTTAATATATTCCTAACATTTCTCGTATTGAATCAGGTTTCACTTTAAGATCCTTTATATTTTACCTCAATAAATGAGCTTTATTAAGAAAATTAAGCTTGTAGATTTTTATGTCTATAAAAACAGAAATTATAAGTAAGTGTAATGGGGGAAAATGTCTCTAATTTTGTTCTTCAAGGCAAAAACATTTCAAATTATCAATGATAAGGAAAGTGCATAATGAGCATTTATTGTGACAAATAAGCGTAAAGCCAACCATAATGTTTTATTCAGACTGTCTTACCTCAGTGTATTTACATACTGCTAAAATATGTTATTGTTAATTGTTTCACCATACTCCACTGAAAACTGTAATATATCTCACTAGCCCATAAATATTTGTCATTTCAACACGCTGCTTCTTAGTTTTAAAAATTTTCCAATAAACATCCACTAGCCACAGTAGCTTTGTAGAATATGTTCCCAAAAGTTCTGATTCCGAAGTAACTATTTGTAGTGACTTGATATGCGTTGGGAAATCCTAGATTCTCTAGATCCCCTGGGTCCTCCGCATTGCTGACTGCTGGAGAGCTCATTTGTCTAATGCTGCACATTTCCCTATTGGCTTTTTTACTTTTTTTTTTGTATTCTCACCTTTATGGCTTTTTCCCATTTATATAAACAAATTTAATGTGTTTTATACACAGTTTTAAGCCCAAAGTGATAATTAGCTTCTTTCTCCTTTGAATTTTTGTGACAGCATACTTTCAGCTTACTTTAAAGTTAAAGACTTAATCCTCTCTATATACGGAGTTCATGGAGCAACCCGTGGACTGCTCTCCCACGGGAGTATGGACAAGGCTGGGGGCATGAGGCAGATCTCATGGTGTCAGCTCGCTAATTCACACTGCACTGTTTTGAATGCTGTGTACTAGCTGCCGTGGGGAAGACATATTAGTCTTTTTAGGTCTGTGGTGTATCACCAAGCTTAATGGTCTTCGGTTACATCCATTTTGCTGCAAAATGACCGGAATTCGTGATTTGTAATGCTGGAGAATATTTGCTCATGTGCATGTACCACACCATTCGTCAGTTGCTGGGCATCTGGGTTGTTTCTGTGTCTCGACTATTGTGACTGTTGTGTCTGGACTATTGTGACTATTGCGAACTGTGCTGCTGTGAGCCTAGGAGTACAGATAACCCTCTGTGTGCTGATTTCGTTCCCTTGGGTGTATTCCCAAGAGGCACATGGTAGATCAATCTTGAGGTCTTTCCTAGTGCTAGTTTATGTTCCCACTCACAGGGCTCCATTTTCTCCACATCCATCTCAGCATTTATTATTATGATCAGTATTATTATTGGGTGACAGCTGTTCTAACTAGGCTGGGATAAAACCTCATTGTGCTTTTTATTCACATTTTCTAGATGGATAGGGATTCTGAGGAATTTTTTTTTTTTTTTTTATTGTTGCTTACACTGTATTATGTAGTACAGTTTTATAGGCGCTGGGGATTCCCCCCACCCCTCCCCATACCCCTCCCCCCATGGTGGATTCCTCCACCTTGCTGCATAACCATAGTTCAAGTTCAGTTGAGATTCATTGCTTGCAAACACATGCCTAGCATAAAGTTCAGCGTCTTATTGTCCAGATAAGTTCAGTGGCTTCCTGGGGAGACCTTCTATGGTCTGAAGATAAGTCTAACAGAGTAAAGATCCGGTCGGTTAAAAGCCCCAACAAGGCCTCAGTATCAATATACAACATTATGGAATTAATTGACATAGTATTGGGTAAACAATATGTTAAAAATAATGCAAGTTCCATTCTTCGAAACATCTGGGTTGAGACAGCATCAATGACACGTTCAAAAAATAACAAACAACCAAACAAAAAATTACAGGTTAAATCAAGGCAAACATGTGGTATCTAATCTTTTGGGATTCACTCATTTCCCTTAGCATTATAGTTTCCAGTTGTGCCCATTTAGCCACAAAGAACTGCATTTTGTTTTTTTTAATAGCTGAGTAGTATTCCATGGAGTAGATGAACCAAAGCTTTCTTATCCAATCTTCTGCTGATGGGCATTTCGGTTGCTTCCATGTTTTTGCAATTACTGATTGTGCTGCAATGAACATAGGGATGCATGTTGGTTTGTCGTAAAACAGGTGTTTTGGATATATTCCTAGGAGTGCTATTGCTGGGTCATATGGCATGCAGATTCCGAGTTGTTTGAGTGTTCTCCAGACTGATTTCCATAAAGGCTGTACCAATTTGCAGCTCCACCAGCAGTGGAGTAGGGTTCCCTTTTCCCCGCATCCTCGCCAGCAAGCGTCGTTGGTGTTCTTGTTTATGTGGGCCAATCTTATTGGTGTTAGGTGGTACCTCATCGATGTTTTAATTTGGATTTCCCTTATTGCTAGGGAGCTGGAACATTTTTTCATATGTTTGTTTGCCATTTGGACTTGTTCCTTTGTGAAATGTTTGCCCATTTCCCTTGCCCATGAGGAATTTTTTTGTATCTGTTGGCTATTTGAATTTCATCCTTTTAAATTCCACCTAATTCCAAGTGAGATTGGTCTACGCTCAGAACTGTAGTAACAATACCTGCTGGCATGGATATGGGGAATCCAGCACCCCAGGCCGTGTCGGGAGTGCAGGCTCCTATAGCCACTGTGAAGATCACTGTGAAGAGTGCTAAGAGAACTGAAAGGTGGTCTACCATTTGACCAGCTATTCCAGTCCTGGGAATATACACAAAGGAAATGAAATGTGTATGTGAGAAAGGGATCTGTAATCCTATATTTACAGCAGCACAGTCTACAATTGTGAAGACATGGAAACAACCCAGATGTCCATTGAAAGAGGAATGTATAAAGAAACATCTACCCCCCATAGAATAATACTCAGCCATTAAGAAGAATGAAATTTAGCTATTTGCACTCAAATAGTCCCAACTAGAGACTATTATTCTCAGTGAAATAAGCCAATCCCAAAGGACAATTATCATGTGTTCTCTCTGATATAAATTTCCATGCAAAACACAAAACACATATATGTGTAAACATGCATATACATATATTCACCTAAATGAACTGTATAATGGAGACTTGCATGCCGAGAATTGAAGATATACTGCAGTATACATCTCTACTTCTGAATAAAAGATGAACTCCCAATGAAACTGTTAATATATCTTGGCAATAGGATGCTGGACTTTCTACCATTGTCCATATCTTACAATGCCACGATACACTTAAAGAGCAGAATGATGTACTTGTGACTTGCTGAAGGACAGACTATTGTAACAACATGAGGGAAAACTGTGTGAGAGAGGGAGAATCCCTGAACCTGTGTCATGAAAAATAAAAATAAAAACTTTTTTAAACAGTAAATTAGGTCATGAACCAGTGCTCAAGTGGGTTGCTAGATTCACAGCTGATAGTCCAACTTGCTGTGCCACAAAGTCAGCCCAAACTCTGGGGTCTGCTGTGGTGATATAGCACACCAGTCCTCTGCCTGCAGCATCTGCATCCCATATGGGCACTAGTTCATGTTCTGGCTGCCACACCCCTGGTCTAGCTCCCTTTCCCTTAAGGCCTGGGGAAACAGCTGAGAATGATCCAAGTCTTTGGGCCCCTGCACCCACGTGGGAGACCTGGAGGAAGGGAAAAAATGCTTGTTTACTTTCTTAACCTCGTGGTGTCCACTCTGCTGTTAACTCCCTACCAGTTGGTTTGGGGCAAGACCTGTGATTTTCTCAGAATTATTAGGGAAGTTAGCCATCTCCTCTTTCCCTCATCCTCCCTCGTTGACTCTCACAGAGACCAACAGGTCTGTTTCCTGTGCCTTCCGGTGACAGCTGCAGGGAAGCAGCTGCTTGCCCAGTGGAGCTTCCATTGAGAACAGCGAGGGACAGCTAACTCCCTCTCATTCTACTGTTCTGTTTCTGAAACTCGTCAGAACTATGTTCCTACTTCAGAGTGTCCCTCTCTTTTTGAGATAGGAGGCACCAGCGAAATGCTTCTTTGTTTTTGTCCTTTCAAGCTAACCCGTTTATAATTTATTTGTGGCTCAGCCTCAAGTTAATTTTTTGTTCCTGTATCTCCTGCAGTTAGCTGACTGCAGCTTCACTCACCGCTGTGCTTGAGCTGCTCGCTTTCCTGCACACCACGGCTGTGCTTGTCCTCAGACTCAGTTTCTGTTCTCTCAGTCACTGACCATATGCCACTTTATCCACAAAATCCTTGCCAATATCCTAGTCATGACAAGGCAATCACCTCTCCTTATCACTTGGGAATTTGGATTTGTGTGTCTGTGTGTGTGTGTGTGTGTGTGTGTATTGCTGAGCTGCTTCGAAAATTTCTGCTTCACAATCTATTTGTCTAAAGTCTGATAGGCCTTTTGTGCAGCTAAATTCATTTTGGGGATGAGTTTGTCACATAAAGCTGAAATACCAGATGCAACTAGGAACCTAGGAGGTCCTTGATTCCAGCAGGAATGGGCTAGGAACAGAGACAGAGAGAAGGGGACATCTGCCATGGTGGCAGGAGGGGGCTGCAAGGAAAGGGGGGAGGGCAGGATGAAGGAGGACAGGGAAGACAGACTCATGCCGGAGTGTGCCTTTCTTGTGGCCAGGAGCAGGTGTTGTGGGGCCATGAGGGATTAGTGGAGAGGGTTGTTGGAGCTGCAGGGGTTAGTAAGTGGGTACAGATTAGTGGGAAGGGCCACGAGGGGTTGGTGGAGAGGGTTGGCAGCTACAGCACCATGACCTTATGGCAAATTGTTGGGAGCAGAGTTACAAAGTTACAGCGGATTGTCAGACATCAAGATTTGAATCGGAAGGGCGAGCAAATCTTAAGGAAGCCAACCTAGGGGAAGCAGGTGTTTGAAATAGTACCAAGTCCAAAATGGCGGGGCCTTCAGGGGTGATGCTCGAGTCACTCCGCAGTCATGCCGTGTTTATAACCTTTTGTGCATCTTGTGTGTGCTGCACTTGGCAAAAATGCCCTTGGAGAAGAACTACACTATGTTGTTTGGCCCATTCCTTCTTAGAATTCTCCTCCTTCCCTCTTCTATAGCACCACTCTAGTTGCTTATATAC